GGGCTCGTAAAAGCTCGACCAAAGTCCCCATCGAATGCTGTGCCCTGTTTGTATCAAAGAAGGAAGCTCCGAGCGGGAAGGGGTCGTACTTCACTAAATTGTCCTCAGCGGCAGGACGTGCCCTACCCACAGGTTTACTTTGCGATCTCATGAATGATCAGGTCAGTTCCGGTTGAAGAACTGTCATGTCTTGACCGGTGAAAAGCCAAATATAGCCGAAAACCGAAGGTTTATAAGTAATACTGTGGAAATGGTTATTTTATATCACCCACTTAGTGCTTCTTCGTACTCCTCTGGGACATCAGAAGGTTTTGAGTCCTGAAACGAAGCCGCTATCATAACCACTGTCAATAGTCATCTAAAGAGATTGAAGCTTACCTTCTCTTCTTCTTCCGAATGAGTTGGTTCAGGCCCTGAGAATCTTACTGATCGAACACCTGAAGTTAGCATGCTATCAACGCTCACAAGAGACTCATCAACTGAAGCCAACGTAGCCCCAGACCCTCTGCGTTTGCTCCACTGTTACGCTACCGTCAACCGAGCAGTACTTTTTTGGAATCCGCTGGACATCCTCGCAATGTTTAATTCGCCTTAGTACCAGATGCTTTCCAATCGCAGGACTAGGGGTCTAAGTGCATCTTTTCTCCAAGGGACCCTGCCCATTCTCATGTCATGTCCTCAGGCTCACTGAAAACATGAACAAAAACCGATCTAAAATCAAGATCAAAAAGTGGATATGGGACGTTAGGTTCAAGTTGCGACGACGATCCCAAACTAACAAACCATTCTCTAGTCAGGAAGCTCGACATACTGCCGCGCTTCCGAGTTGAATCATTCAGGTTCTGATGCGATTGGTACCCTCGTAACGTCATTTCAAGCGCCTCTCTTGCGTCCAGTAATGTTAAAGGCAGTTGGCACGATAAATCCCAAGACGACTAGGATCAATACTCCTGGCAGGATAGAATTCCGCGACCCTGGGCAGGCGCTGCATAGCGGTTTCCCCGAGGAAGGTGCCCTTATAAGGGCCCTATCAAGCCACAACTTTACGTCCCAAACGCCCGCCACGCCCGCCCACAAATGGACGACCGTTCCTGACGCTCGTATTCATTCATTTGCTAAGCAAATTATGAAGCGAAGGGATTGGTATGAAGCGGCCGTGATGCTGCATGCATACATGGGTACACATATGCAGCCGTATCTTCGGTAGCGGTGATTGGTAAGATGCCTACGGGAAACTCGTCCGAAATCGATTTACAAGTCACTGAGAACGGAGGCTTTTTCTTCGCAGGATTTTGACCGTTTCACTCCGTTCTTTCGCCATTTCCCCACTATACAGCGCCCTACTAGCATTTTAGGCTAAGTAGGAAACCATCGTGCCAACTGCCTTCAAGTGCATATAAACCCGAACACCTAAACTCATGTTCGACTCACCGTAGCCAATATGTCACCCCGTCGATTAACGAATGAAAAGGTGTATAACACTGATAAATTTGACCTTCTCTCTGCATAAAACCGCAACTGTGATGTCTTTTACGAGAGGACAAGGTTGTTAGGCAGAAACTTTGATGAGAGTCAAACGTTTAGACCAGGTAGTCGTTCTCAGCCACCAGTTCGTGACTTACGCTAAGCCCCGCCCACAGTGGGCTGGTTGTGTGGTGGGAGTGATGTCACAGACAACAGGTAGAAATTCAACCTCGAAACAGCTCGAAGGTGGAGAAAAAAGGCATTAATGTTAGCAAGGGGCTAACAGACTAATTGTTGGAAACACACCCGAAACGGGCGGTGCGTAGTCCAGATTGAGGGCGCTTCCCACAAAATTCAGTAGCGCGGTTCTTGGGTGTGTTTAGACCGGCGAGGCTAAAACATACCAATAAGTGACCCAGCCAACACACTTTAGTCCTACATACTATGCTACTATATTATACTTCCTCAAATGACATGGCGGCTTTATTCCGGCCATGCGGTGGTGGGCTTTTTTCTAGTGGACGTTAGGCCGTGAATAAACATATTACCTAGCAACTATTGACGGCACGAATTAAATAATAATTAAAGAAACATAACAAGTAAATAACTTTATATTATGGCTCTATAAACATACTTGCAGGTCTGTCGGCTGCCGTCAGCATAGTCGCTGGTTTTCCATTACCAACGCTATTCTCGAGGTGCAAAGGTATGTCGTCGTCAGATTCAGAACGAGGTGGGACGACAACCTCTTGGTGATGGTAAATGCCCTGAAATCGGCACATAGTGCTCGCGGCAGTGAATATAACAAATTGAATTGTGTTGTACATATAAAGCCGATGTTCTCTTACAACTTTGTCTTTAACAGTCACTCACGATCATGTTTATGATTATAACATTTTTCGGCACCCATGCCAGATAGCTCTTTACTAAGGCTGATCCCTACAGAGGTTTGATCCCTTCTTGTCTTCACAGCGCTCAAGCGATCAAGATTCACTGCTCTGCAGCCGGAAACGAATGCTTTAACAAGACCATAGCCTCGTCTACCCCTGCATGCAAATTTCAGTGATTTTGCTGAAAAAACATTTGGCGTCAGTTTGGTCCCGGCACCATCCTGATACCAAATAGCGCCGCGCCAATAGCGAATACTATATTCATATTTACGCGGCAAACAATAGAGAGAAAAGAGGAAAAAGAGAATATGCGCAGTTCATAAGCGCGGATAGATTTCGGTGAAAAAGGCGTGCCGCCATAATCCGGGCTCAAATGGCGTTGGTGCCAGGAACGACTGTCATATCCGTATTCACGGCACCAATTTTCAGCGAAAAAACATAAGAGAGTCAAAGGTACTGCTGCTGCTGGTTAGACAGTGTCAAGGACTCCTATAACTGAAGATTTCGCTAGTCCACTATTCGCACCTATCAGTCGAGGTATGGAGAGGCTTTCCGTCCGGGACAGAATTGAAGAACTCAATGCTCCCAAAAATCAGTCAAAGGCTTCCCGCTCCTCTGGTTTGCATGTTTCCGAGTAATGAATTTTGCTGATGGTAAAAAAAGCTTGACTAGTAAATAAACTTCTCTTGTCTGAAATTGAACATCTGCAACTCTTAAACTCTTAAGAAATGCCCATGGTGTTCTTTTTTAGATATGCATCGCCCTTTCAAAACTTCTTAAGGCTTTTCTCTTCTAACGACATGCACACGGGCAGTGTCGCTAAGCTTTCTGGGCGGAAATCGGAACTGATCGGCACTAAAGGAATGCTACCTACGTCAGCAAGAAAATCGTCGATATCTCAGGAGTTTCCCACCAATACAAGGGCCCTTCAAGGTATTCTCGTATCGGGGTAATTTAGCAGTGACGAAGGAATTTGAATCATTTCAATAAGTGACGATAATTCCTGAGAATGTAAATACAAAATTTTACTTTGTTATCATCATCAATGCTATTCTAGTTATCCTTGGTGAAAGAAGACCGGAATGACTGATGTGACAATGTCGAGAAAATTATTTCCGGTCGAAAAAAAAATTGAGAGAAATGAAAACAAGTGGGGGGAAAATGATTACTGATTACTCCTTGTCCCCCAATCTAAAAGAAGATCTTCGTGGAAAGCGTTTTTCTAACAATGAAGAGCTGAAGGCGGCAATTAACGCACATTTTGAAGTCAAGGAGGAAAAATTTTTCAATACGGTATCGGAAAGTTAGTTTTCCGAGCAAACACGAGTTATTATGGGTAACTAGTCGGAAAATGATATTTATTCAGAATTTTCTGCTTTGTCCCTCATTCCTATACCGAGAATACACTGAACCTTCTCGCAGTCTTCCACGGCTCCAGGAGCACTGGACAGCTCTCAGAATGTATATTATTCGGTTTGATATAACAATTCTAGTTGTTTATTTAGTGATCAGCCATGGAATACTTACTCAATGAATGTTTCGAGGAGTGCTGCAAGCAGTTCACTCTTCTCCATTGCGGATGAAGGGGCGCGTGATGAGTTTAGCGCGAAATGCATTTCCAACAAATGATGGAGCAAGCAAGCGACAAGATCGTACCATTCATTTTCATCGATCGTATCAGTCATTTTTCATCAACTGGTGTCGCTTACCGCTTTAACAACTGGTAGCGAACGGGCTGGCATCGCGCCAATTCAACCCCTGCCTGACAGCCCCCTCCCATTTAAGCAATGCAGACTACAGCTTTTGTTTCACGAGGCCTTAGTCGGAAATTGAAATAGCTAAACGGAAATTGAGAAAGCTTTCGAATCTTTTTTCTGTGCTCATAAATAATGAAAAGGAAGGAACAACGAGGCCTCTATTTTCTTTCATTATCCCTCCTCACACTTGTAAGAAAGCCCACTGCAAATAATGCATCGTAAGGGAAAAGGGCGTTGCCGTCAGCTTCAAGCAAGAACATCTTACAGTGTCCTTAATTGCCCTTACAAAGAAGAAATGCTGAGACGAGACATTAAGGACGATTGGGCTCTAGTCTCTTTCAAGAAGTGCTGATAGAGGTGCATTGTAAAATGAGTGGAAATATCGCTGTCACAATAGCTAAAATGGATATAATTGAGATTAAAAATTTATTAAGTCTACAGCACCTGATCCTCTTCTAGTGCGAAAATCCGGCTATGCTCATCCTGTGATGAATCGTCACTGATAGGATCGCTGGTGACGGGATGAAGTGGTGGTGGTGACTTCATCAGGCCATCATAGCAACGGACGCCAGTACATCCACGCCTCCATATTGTTACCACGACAACGAAGCCATTATGCACAGCACATTTTATTCACATGGCTTTCAACTGGAAACAAAAAGGATAAAGCTTTCGAGCTCGCTGGTCAACTCCTTTTTAGGGTACGCCATGCATTCTACTTCCATTAAGACGGGTACGAGCCTTTTCAATACGATTCGGCCTAAATGATGAGTTGGGAGGGGGTCAGCTAATGAACGAGTCGGTGACTTCATTTTTCCAGACGAGACTGGAATCAATTGATCAATCAGATGTCAGTTGCTCTTAAATACTAACTGATGACAGTTGTTCGAGTTATCCTACAAATAAGGAATCCTACACCATGTTTGAATGAAGTACGCAGCCACACCTACCACGTCTCAGGGATGTGGAGTGCAAATTATGGACATAAACCTCCTCAAGAACTTTTAAGGAAGAGCAGCCTACAGCTACTCTCTTCATAAAACCTTGGCATGACTGTGAAACTATGCAGCTTTTAATTTACTGTGCCAAAGAGTTTGTTATGTGAAGGACTTTATTGAAATTGGCCTGATGCTTTCGACTGGATCGTCGTCCTCAGAGGCCTAAACATAGCTCAAGGTTTAGATGTTGCACCCCCTACATCGCAAAACGTCTCCACACGCTAGCGTATTCGACGGAAACTCAGGATAACTTCCGAAAACCCCGAATGGGAGAGAAGAAGTTATCCAATCCACCACCGCATGGGTGAAACGACGCCAATCGATGTTAGTTGTAGTGAGTAAGAAATAGCGTGCTTTCGGAGATTAAGGGGTACCAAGCTGTATGATGGCTCACATGCTCACCGACCAGCCTGTACACATACTCGCACCTACTTCCCCTTTTTCCCTAGATTATCAACTGAACGTTCGAGCTCATCTTCGCACAAGCCACGCTGCTCCAGAAAGCTTCTCTGAAGGCTTCCATTTCGTCCGATCCACGTTAGCGTTGACAACCCGAAGTTACTTCCACAAGGAGAGTGAAGTGCACGATGACGATGCGGGTGGTATACGTGGCACGCTTACCCTTCGTGCAGACCGGGGATCGAGTCCCGGATCGGCTCTCAGCCAGGCCAGCCAAGCCTTCAATCCTATGGGAACGGTAAATTGGTAGCGGATTAGTCTGCGAGGACGGAACAGACTTGTACATCGGCACGCCCCCGCGAGTCATGGTATAGACCACATCGTATTTAGTAACACTACGATTCTGAATGGAATTACAATGCGTGCTACACCCCAAAGATTACTGATTAACGGCGAAGATATTATATTTTTATTTTATACAGTAACGACACCAGTACCGACACTCAAAACTGAAAACAGCTTAGGAACCGGAACATTTGAAAAGCAAATTGAATTGCGAGTGCAATAAAGCACAATGAAAATTGTAAACACAACGCGATTAAGGAGAGCATAACATAATGACTTAATAATTACAAACACCAGAAAATTATCCACATCTGAAGAAGTAGTGTTATTTGAGTCGTCTTAGGGCCAGCGCTCAAACATGGCACCTGTGATTGGAGCGCGACGACCCCCTCGCCCACGGCTTACCACGGTAACTCAGGGGCTTGTAGAAGGGAATGGAGCCCGATAAAGCGGGTATCGATCGGGCGCCGGCGCGCTTGTGTTTGCGAATGAGCAGGGAGAGAGAGAGTATAGAGTAAAAGGAGGACTGGCTCCGCCTTCGCACAGTCTGGCACCCTTTTATTCTTCTATACTCTCAAAATGCTAGCGGCCAGCGCCGATCGACACCCACTGCGGCTGCTTCCTGTGAATATCATTGGAACGCCACTGCAGCGGTAGCGCGTCGAGGTAGAGTTTGAATGCTGCTCCATTTCATCAGCCAACTCGCTGCTGACAACACTTGCAGACTTCAGTAAGACTGGCAATCTTCTCCACCCTTTTAAAATGGTAATTACAGCCATGGCAGAATTTAATTACCGGTTATTCGACACAGGATTACAATACAAAAACTAATGCAGAATGTTAGTACACAAGTTTATGGAATTCACTGGAGGTAAGAAGAATCCACAGAGTGAGCATGCCGCAACAACAGCTATCAACTTTTCGTCCTCCTTTTTCAGCCAGCCAGTGACATTGACTAGAGAAGGAGCCAAGGATATTTCTTCCGGAGTTGCTCATCCTCGTTATCCTCATTCGGAGGTACATTCAGATATGCTCTTGTTTCTTCTAACGTCATACCCTGAACATACAGTATAACATTCAATGACCTGAGGTATAGCCACGATCCGTGCGAACGATACGACTTGTGGCGCGGCATGGGTTGGAGCGCGCCAGGGCGGCTTATCTCCACCAATGACATCATGCTGACAGCGCAACGACTGGTGGGAAAGGCTCCTCTAGCTGCGCTCTAGTCCACGCCCCTCTGTACGCTCTATAGCTCATATCATGACTATATATTGATGCTACGCTGAGCTAGCACATTCGAGGATCCTGATTCTGCCAGGTGCAAGGTGAATGGTCTGCAGCTGTAGAAGTGCACCATTTTCGTCGCATAAATTGGACCGAAATGAGGCTGGAGGGTAGTGATGGCCAGATGCCATTTGGGACTTCACCCACAGGCCTGCAACGTGCCGCGCGAAGAAGAATATGCAGAACTATAGCCAAGCCTGTTTGTTCTCTACTATTTGACCGTTTCAGGCAACCTGTCGTTCATGCTGTTCCGAGCTGGACCTCGGCATGACGCAGAAGCCACGCTTTGGGAACAGCGGTTGGAGCCCGACAGGGCATCCAGCTATCACATCAACTAGCTTCATTTCCGCACAGTTTCGAGTGACGGACGTGGCGCACTTATACGGCTCGAATCTGATCATTATGCATATGCCCAGGGTCATCTGCAGTCACCTGGGCAGCGTACCTCCCAACAGCCCAAGTAGATGACACCAGAGCGCCCAAATTATTTGAGTCGAAAACTCTGACACCATTTAGCCTTCATTGCCCGTTTTTTTCGAAACTTGAGCTCGACTTTTCTCGAGCTACAGTCGCGGAAAAAAATTTGGAACAAGCTTTGAAAAGGCATTTTCATCTGTTCTGAGCTATCTAGTCTCATACACCAGAGGGTCAGAAGCTAAGAATATAATGCTGTAATACAATAATATTAAAATTTTGGTTAAGCGGAGATAGTGTAGTGGCAAGTGGCGCCACTTACCACAAGCGTGGTCTGGGGTTCAAAGCCCGGATCGGCTCCCGCCTGAACCAACCGAGTTTTTCGTGCCTGCGGGAAAGCTAATTAGTAGTAGACTCGCCTAAGAAGATAAAAAGTCGACTCCTACATTGGCAGCCCTCACCCCACCGGTAGCCCCCCCCCCCCTTCCTCAAACATGGGTAATCTTCAAAATTCTGTCCCTGCAACAAATTCAGTCAATCCAACTCTCTTCTTTAGAGTAGCTTTTTTAGGAGCACTTGATTTGAGCAAACAACGTTTTCATGTACAGTTTAAAACTTTTAGGTAAAGCTATGAGAAAAGCGCGACTTGGGCTCGTTCCAAGTTTTTTTTTCTTACCGCGACTGTATATCCGTAAGGGTGGATCCGAAAAGTCCTTAGAAAGGAAGCACTCCCACAAAAAAAACGTGAGGATCAATACCGAAATCATTTCCGCTATGTAACTTGATCCTGCGCC